GACTCCACGGCAGTGGGTGTGGTTTGGGCTTTGCTTCTGTGAAGATTGACAGCCTTGGAGACCCTGTGGGCAGTTCCACTCTGTCCTCTAGAGGCGCTGTGAGCTGTAACTGACAGGACTGCAGCAGGTTTGGTTTGGGCTTTGGTATTCCTGCAAACCAGTGCCAGTGCTGTAACACACTTGGTCAATGAGAAGACTCCTGAGACCAGAAAAACAGTTTCAGACAAAACAGAGACTGAGTGTGAAGCAAAGCTACTGAGGCAGCAGCAGAACGAGAAGCAGCAGACCTGCCAAGAGCTCTAGCTACCCCCCAGGGCTCAGTGATTTCTGCAGCAGAACAAGAACCGCTGACCACTCAGCGGCCGTCCCAACCGCTGCAGAATCCCCACGTCAGAGCCAGCTTTGATGTTCAGGGCCAAGATTCAGGCCAGCATGGAGGTCCTCATGAACGCCAGTGCTGGGGGATTCATGTCTTCCTGGGAAACTGTTACAACAGGCCTTCCCCATGTGCCCTTTGCACGTTTTGCTTGCATATTCAGTGATTCTGTGTAATTAGAGAACAAAACTCCCCATGGTTTGTTCAGGGTTATAAACTAAAACCCTTAAGCTAAACCCCTTGCTGTCATTCGATTCTGACCCACAGCGCCCCTAGAGGACAGAGTGGAACTGCCCCACAGGGTTTCCAAGGTTGTCAGTCTTTACAGAAGCAGAGTGCTACATCTTCCTCTCATGGAGGAACTAGTGGATTTGAACTATCAACCTTTTGGTTAGCAGCTGAACGGTCCTTTCCATAAACAGGGGTCCTTCCCATAAAGATTACAGCCTAGAAAACCCTATGGGGAGGTTCAGCTCTGTTACACAGGTCATTGTGTGTTGAAATTGACTCCATGGCACCTGACAGCAACATTCTAATCTTAACACATACAGCAAAATCAAGTCAATAAGGATTAAATTAAATTTTAAATGTCAAATATGAAGCCATATACACCCACTCCTGACTTAGCAACTATCTCATTACCCAACATTTCACACTTACAACAATAGTTAAAAACATACCTTCTGACTGGTTTTTCCATTAATGATTCATGGCAGTAATAAATGCTAAGGTGTGAGGTGAGAGTAACCGTGGCTGTGATGGTTAAGGCTGTGCCCACTTGACTGGGCCATGGTTCTCAGTGGTTTGGCAGTTACATAATGACGAGAGTTACATAATTACAAAAGTTGGCAGTTATGTTATCATGAAACTTGGCAGTTATGTAATGATGTAACTGTCCAGCTGTGTGATGATGTCATTTGGCGGTTATGTAATGATGTAACCATCCTCCATTGTGTGATGTGATGTAGTCATCTTCCATTTTTGCCTAACACCGATTTCCACACAAGGACCTGGTCTTTGAAACCTGACTGTGTTGTTAAGTGAGGAGCGAGTATCAATATCCAAAAAGATGAGCTGAAAATTAAGAACCTTTAAGGTGAACATTCTTTTTAACTATGACATCAGAAACCATGAATATAATGATCTCTGATGATACCAAAAGGACAAACTCTGTCATGTCAGCCACGACAGAAATACAACTGAAAGGCAAACGAAGGAGTGGGAGATACGCGCACCATCCCATCATCACTTACAGACCCCCTTCCTGGCCTGCTGTGAACTGTGAGCTCACGCATTCCGGCACAGAGCTGCTGCGTCTGAAAGCTTTCATCACACCCACAAAGTGAGGTGCTCTGAACATCACAGACACACGGCTAACTGCTTATCTGTTTGAATTTAAGCAGCTATGAGCCTACATAAAAGAAGAACTAATGAAGAAAATATGAGAAATGTTTTCTTAATTTGGGAAAATGTTTTAACTCCATTTTTCACCTCTTTGTAAGAGTTATATATTTTTCTTTCCACCCTGTGATATTTAGAACCTTGGGGCCTTTTCTCCCAAAATTTCAATCTGTGTGTTTCTTCATCAAAGCAAACCGTACCAAACCAAAAAACCTAGAAAAGTGAAATATATAACATGTAGTAATAGGAAACTGTTAAAAATTTGGAAGAAAAACGATACCTGTGACATTTCAGCTAGGTACATGCGACGCTCACTGTTGGTCTTGTGGTAAGCCTAAAGGACAGATACAAAGTAAAGGCACGATACAAGCTCAAAGCGGCAATATTAGCAAGGTGACTGCCCGTTACTGCTGACTCCACCCTGTTTTATTTAAAGAGTTGTCCTCCTTCTCTGGTGCTGCCACAAAGGGGTGGCTTTAACAAACAGAAACTTACTACCTCACAGTTGAAGAGCCCCGAATCAGAATTCAGAGCACTGGCCCTAAGCAAGGCTGGCTGTCTGTCTCCCGGTTCTAGAAGGTTCCCCACCCACAGGTCCAAGCCCCAAGGTGAGCTCCAATCCTAGGGCTTCTTTCTCGGTGGTAATGAGGTCCCTCCCTCTCTGCCCTCATCTCTCCTTTCATCTGTTTTAAGATAAAAGGCGATGTGGGTACACCCCGTGGAAACTCCCCTTCCCTGGGACCAGGACTGTGGCCGAGTAAGGGTGGAGTAACCCCCTTACGAGTGACTAGACCGTCACATCTGATCACATCACAGGCTGGTGACATGACTGCATAACCACCAATAGGACCCAGGGCCCAGCCAAGCGGACATGTACTGCGGGGACATGACCCATGTGGACAGTCTGGAACACGGTTTTCCCCAGCATGTTGTGGCGGTCAGCACCCGCTACAGGTTTGCGGAGCACGTGCTGAAATGCGGTCGCCGCGAAGCACGGCCCGAGGCGGCGGCGGACGAACCTTCGACTCCTGCTCCAGTCGGACCACGTAGTCTTTCACCTGGGTCTCCAGGCTCCGCTTCTCCTTCTCTAGCTGCTTCAGCAACGCGGTCAAGGACTCCTGTGAGCACAAGGACACAGTACACGGCTGTGCGCTGGGGCCACCAGAAGACACAATCAGTGTCTTCAGTCCTGGAAGTGGGGTCCCTCCCACTCTGCGACCCCACAGTCCTACAGTGTGTGCTTCAGAGTCTAAGCTATGACGACAGCCAGCATGTCCTGGACCGACAACACGCCTTAACACGTGTGTTAAGTGCGTCATCTGGCCCTTATTTGACCCTGCGAGAAGCCTCATACACCCGTCTGCATGTTACTGCTATGGAAACTGCTGCTTGCGTAGGTTGGACCACCGGCCCAAAGACACAGAGCTACACGGTGGCTGAGCCGGAATGACAAGCCTATGACGATGCTAAAGGCCATTCATCCCCAACCAGCATTCCATGTGTACTGTGACAAAGGACACACGGTGAAAAGCACTTAACCACCCTCCCGTGGGTGACTGTTCTTCAAACCATAGCTTGTACTTCCTGGTCCATGGGTGGTGCAGTTAAACCCTAGGCTATTAACCGAAAGGCTGGGGGTTCGAATCCACCCAGAGGCCTGCAGATCTGCTTCCGGCAGGTCACCCTTCCAAAGCCCCACAGGGCAGTTCTACTCTGCACACACGGGGTCGCCATAAGTTGCGGGTCGATTCGACGGCAACTGACACGGCAAAGACGACTTCAGAGACCAACAGGAACCACACAGATGTCCACAGAGAGAAGCTCGTGGGTTCTTCATCAAATGAGGGAACTGATTATTCTTTATTTTCTGTTTTCTGTCACTTAAACGCAAGCTCCGTCAGGGCGGAGACTTAGCCTCTTTGTTTCCTGCTGCATCCCCAGTACCTAGAATGGTCACTGAATGCCAACTGAGCACATAGTGATATTCAAAAAAACCACCAACACAGAGCTTTCATGAAGCTAGACTTTGCAGAGGTATGTGATCTCATCCTACCAAAAAGGAGAAAACGGAAGGTAGTCTTCTAAGCCAGCCCATCCAACTGCAGTCACACAGGGCTGTGTGAACCCGCAACACCGATTGTACCAGCACCAAACAGGTGATGAACGCCTCCAGCTCCTTCTGGGTGGGGGGCACACCCGTATGCTGACTGACTGCTGGGTCTGGTCTCCCCTAGTCCTCGTCCAGATAGCCCTGAGTTCTCAAGCGTGCCCTGGGCTCAGGGTGAGGACAAAGGACAGGGGCAGAGTTAGGCTTCCACGTAGTGTCCCAATGCCATTCTGAAGGCATGAAAGTGCACCAGCGTCAAAGTGCACCTGCACCTCAAGTCTCACTTCAGACATGTTCCTCAATGGGGTTAAGTCTTTCACCAGGGCCGCTGAAAGCACCTGCTCCAAATACCAGGACAAAGCGCCCACAGGCTGGGAATTCAACATGGCGCCCTGACACACATACCCCACCCAGGAAGTATGTTCTGGGTGTGGGCTCTGCAAGGAAGGACCACGGCACTGAGGGTCTGGAGCAGGTGGGCTCGGTGTCGTGAACCAGCCGCCCTCTGCTTCTGAATGTCCGCCGTCATTTCTGCTCCTTCCCTCTCCTGGTGACCAGCCTCGCTACCAACTCCCTCTGTATAATCGTCACCTCCTGCCTTCAACTCACCTTCTCTCTGTGACAACGGGAAGCATTCTGTCCTTGGTTTCTGTCACCCTGCCAGTGACTCAAGTGTCCACCTGAAACCTTGGCGCACACTGTGTGTTTGTGCTAGGGAGCGGGGTTGGCCCATGCAGAGACAACTGCTCTCGGGAGGAGGCCGGAGCTCATCACGTGAACGCAGCGAGCGTGACCAGGACTGTGTGGGCAAAGCGCTGAGCGGGTGCCTCCGGAGCTTCCTCGTGGGGAGGGGAGGCCACACGCCCCTTTGGGAGCTGGAAGCTGGCTGGGAACCCTCCCACACCTGCTCACGTCTCTTCCTTACCGCAATCCCGGTTGGTATCTTTTGGCTCCAATACATCTGTAACTGTACGTACAGGACTCCCTGTGAGTGCTGAATCAGTCCAGCCAATATGCCAAACCCAACGGAGTAGTGGAAACTAGAAGTGCAAGTGAGGGAGCTCAGGGGAGGCCCTGAGTGTGCGAGTAACATTCAGAAGGAAAACCCTGAACCTGCAGCCAGCAGGTCAAAGCCAGGGTGCCACGTGGACTCCCCAGACTTCAGGCGGGGGGAACCTGCCTGTGTGGCCGTCTGACGAATGGTGTCCTTCTGACTTGTGTGCTCTGCCCCAGCTCTGGGCGGTTAGCCCTTGTCTGGCATCTGCCTGTTTGGCCGTCTGTCCTTACTGTGAGCTCTGCCCCGGCTCTGGAAGGCTAGCATTACAGAGAGAAGCTGCCCTGTGGACAGCTGGCATCCCATATGATGGAGAAGTGGGAAGAGGAAGTGAGATTCAATGACTCCTTAATTCTGGGACTCAGACTCGTGTTGCTTTTTATATACAAACTTACACTCACAACCTAGGCTCCCACCTCATCCACATACCATCCCGCGGCGTCAGCCCAATACTGCCTTTGTGCGACACCCTTACCGCTCAGCTCAGCCCCTGGGCCCTGCTTTCCATCACGACCCAATGGCTCAGTTCTGAAGATGAGCCTGAGAGCGTGCTAACTGCCCCACCACCAACAGTGGAGAGTACTACTCTGTTATTACATCCACAATTGGAGTGGAGTTTCAAAACAGCTTCCGTAAGACACGGACGTAATCCCAGCAGCACGAGTAAACAGAGGAAGCATTTCTGTAACCCTGTGGACTGAAATGCAACACAAAGAGAGCATAAATCACTGGCAGGTTAATCTGTCTCCTCAAGTAAGTCTCTTACAATAAACTCATGAAGATTTTATAAAAAGAGTTGACAAGATGGCGGCCCAGGCAGACATGCTACCCAGCCTCTCTACAACAAAGACCCCAGAAACCAAATGAAACAGACACAGATGATAAACCTGGCCCTGAGCTTCAAAGGAAAGGATGAAGAAGAAGGTCTAACACTGATTGGAAGACACTGAACAAAGAGACTTACAGAGCGTGAGCTGTAAACTGGCCAGCCTGGTGCAGCCATTTTGAATTACTGCAAGCAGTGTTCTGACTGGGGCAGGAACCATATAACAGGCACTGCTCACCTAAGACTGTACCAGCGCACACACCGGCGGCTGGTCACCAGGAAGATGTCATTTTCCCTTACACCCCACACCTTCCCGGGGACCAGAAGGCTGGCCTTCATTTGTTGATGTGGCGTAACTCAAAGTGAGAAGAAACATCTGCAAACAGCCATTACTAATGAGAATGTGGAATATACAAAGTATGAATCTAGGAAAACAGGAAGGTGTCAAAAATGAAGTAGGATGCGTCCAGATAGATGTCCCAGGCACTCGTCAGTGGAAATGACTCTCCTTTGCGAACCAATCATATAATCTATTATGGTGGGGATGACACCCTGAAGAGTAACAACATCACACACCTGGTCAAAAGGAACATTTCAAGATCTATTCTGAAGTACAAGCCTGTCTGTAGTAACAAAATATCCACATGCCCACGAGGAAGACCAGTTAATATGACATATTCACATCTACACACCAATCGCTAATGCCAAAGATGAAGAAATTGAAGATTTTTTACCAATTTCCACAGTCTAAGATAGATCAAATATGCAGTCAGGATGCATTGATTATTAGTGACAACAGGAATGTGAAAATCAGAAATGGAGAAGGATCAGTAGCAGGAAAATATGGTCCTGGTGACAGAAATGACGCCAAACATCACAAAACAGAATTCTGTTATGACCCACGATTTATTTATTGCAAATACTTTTTTAAAAAACAACATAAATGGTAACTATACAAGTAGACTTCAGGTAGAATAAACGGGAGTTAAATGGGCGGGAAGAGTTACTGTTGTTGTTGTTAGGTGCCATCAAGTCACCTTCAACTCACAGCGACGCTACGCACAACACGAGACCCTGCCTGGTCCTGCACCAGCCCATGATCCCTGCTATATCTGAGCCCATCATTGCAGCCACCGTGTCAATCCATTTCACCAGGGCCTTTCACTTTCTCATTGACCCTCCCCTTTACCAAGCATGGTATCCTTCTCCAGGGAACAGTCCCTTCTAACAACCAAAGTAGCTGACCAAAATAGGTGCGCCGAAGTCTGGCCATTCTCCCTTCTGAGGAGCATTCTGGCTGCACTTCTTCCCGGGCCAATTTGTTAGTTCTTCTGGCAGTCCAGGGTACTCTCCGCGTTCTCCGCCAGCACCACAACTCAAAAGCATCAACTCTTCTTCGGTCTTCCTTATTCCCTGTCCAGCTTCCATATGCATATGAGGTGACTGAAAATACCATGGCTTGGGTTAGCTTAGTCTTCAAGGTGACATCTTTACTCTTCAGCACTTGACAGGGGTCTTTTGCAGCAGATTTGCCCAATCCAATACATCCTCTGCTGTCTCGACTGTTGCTTCCATTGGCGCTCACTGTAAAACCAAGCAATATGAAGTCTTCAAGAACTACAATCTTTTCTCCATTTATCATGTTGCTGCTTCTTGGCCCAGTTGTGAGGATTTCTGTTTTATGTTGAGATGTAATCCATACTATATAGACTGTAGTCTTTAATCTTCATCAGTAACTGCCTCAAGTCATCCTCACTTTCACCAGAGTTGTGTCATCTGTGTATTGTAGGTTGTTAACTAATCTTCCTTCAATCCTGATGCTACACTCTTCTTCATACAGTCTGGCCTCTCGGATTATTTGCTCAGCATATACTCTGAATAAGTATGGTGAAAAGATACACCAACCTTGAGGCACTCCTTTCCTGATTTTACACCATGCAGTATCCCCTTGTTCTGTTAGAATGACAGCCTCCTGGGCTACGCACAGGTTCCTCATGAGTACAATTAAGTGTTCTGGAATTTCCATTCTTCTCAATGTTATACATGATTTGTTATGACCCACACAATGGATCATAACAAAAGCAAAAAATGCTTTTGTACAGTCAATAAAACACAAGTAAACATCTTTCTG